GTTAGCTTTGTGTCAAGGTCTGTCAATCTAAACAGGAAAAAAAACATAACTGTATATTTTTCTTCTAAAAATAACATACTTAATTGGAATGGTTGGGTAGGCATCTCATGCTATCTTAACTAGTTGAAGCATTTATTGTAGAGAAAAGAAAATGGATATACAAAACTTGGAAAAAGCTTAAGCTTTGTATATTGCTTCCCTTATGTGTTTAAAGTTTTCTGTAATGTTTTTCTAAATTCATCAAAAGTTCACTTTAATCCTATGCTATTTACCTCAATGATAGGTACAACGATGAAATTATACCTCAGCTTCTATACAACATGCTTGAGTGTAAAGTCAAATAAACCATCAATCTTCTTCTGAGGACCCAGTCATTTCTCCTACTGTCTGGCAGTAATGCCTTTGATCCATCTTACAAAGGTTATTTATTTATTTATTTCACTAGTATCTTTTAAAAAAATTTAAGTTGGTATATGATATTATATTATTTTTTTTAGTTTCAGATGTACAATACAGTGATTCAACATTTTTATACCTTACAGTGTGATCACCTCGCTAATTCTAGTAATTATTTGTCACCATGCAAACTTATCACAATATTATTGACTATATTGCCTTTCACCTTTTTCATCCATCCCGTCACTCTCTTCCCTCCTGTAGCCATCCCTTTGGTTTCTGTTTCTGAGTTTGTTTTGTTTGTTAATTTGTTTTTTGTTTGTTTTTTTAGATTCCATATAAAAGTGAAACCATACAATATCTGTCTTTCTCTCTCTGAGTTATTTCACTTAGCACAATACCCTCCAGGTCCATCCATGTTGTCACAAATGGCAAGATTTCATTCTTTTTTTATTGCTGTGTAATATTCCATTGTATATATAGACCACGTCTTTTTTATTCATTCTTCTATCAATGGACAACTAGATTGCTTCCATATTTTGGTTATTGTAAATAGTGCTGCAATGAACATAAGGGTGCATATGTCTTTTTGAATTAGTGTTTTTGTTTTCTTTGAATAAATATCCAGTAGTAGAATTGCTGGGTCATATAGTAGATCTAGTTTTAGCTTTCTGAGGAACCTCCATACTGTTAAATTTATGGAAAGAAATTTTAAAATAATGTTTAATCCTTTCAAGTCTTAGTAAAAACAAACAACAACCAACAACAAAACTAGTAGCCAGTACTTAATTCAGGTAAGTATTTGATCTAGTATTTAATCTAAAGTACTTTACCAAGCAAAACGCTGCCCCACCTCCAAGTCTCAAACAACCCCAATTTCTCTCTACATCATACCAGAAAATTTCTTTTTCTTCTGATGTTTGTTATCCTGGATAAATTATTGAAAACTAACTATTATATAGATTGGAACTAGGTGTGATTGGGAATACAAAAATGGCAAACCATGGTCTATAACATTAAGAATATTAACTAGACTTACTATGGCAATCATTTCTCAATAGAGGAGTAAGCAAAAATATGTTTACAGTTGTGAGGACATGAGACACAGAGTTACTAAAGCTACTGTAATAATCATAACTTGCTTGTCTTTTTCCATACAAGCAACTGTAACCCTACTTTTGCCCACCCCTGTATATACAGATATCAAATCATTAAGCTCCATACCTGAAACTAATATAAAGTTATATGTGAACTATAGCTCCAAAAAATATTATGGATTTAAGTATATGTATATAAAGACTAGAAGAAAGGAAGAACTATCCGGAGAAAGAAACAGTCTGAAGTTGGGGGAGGAAAAGGTCTTAAGTATAGGAGATTGGGCATGTTAATTCTAAGTTAAAATAGAACAGTTTTAATACAGGTAAAAAACTGGTCATTTTATAGGCTTTCTAATTCACCTACCTCTTGTTTCACTGCTTGATGTTGTAATTCCTGGAATGAGAGGTACGGAATTAAAGAAAAACAAAATGGAAAATAATAGTTTTGTTTAGAGGGAATATTATATTTCTGAGAATATCCATGGTCATATACAAAATGGGTCAAAATGAATGTTTCAGAGAAATTTGGTCATATAGGTGAATAGATGTTAAAATGTGAAATTAAAGTTTTAAAATCCATAAACACAAGTAAAAGGTCAAAAAACCTTATTCTCTATTACATTTTTTCCAAAGTCTTCCTCTAAGACATTCTTAAAAACAAAACAAACAAAAAAATTTAAAAAAAAAACCAAAAATTTCCCCTAAATGTACCATTGCAAAGGTATACTACAGCCAAGGAAAGTTTTGAATTTTTTTAACGCCCTCTCGATCAAGCTGTGGTTGGGCATTACGGCTTACCTGTGCCTGAGCTACTGGTTTCCAAGGGAGTTGCTATACAAAGGAGGAGACAAATATTTGGAAATGTATGTTAAAAGGGTATTGAAGCCAGTCAGAGAAAAACAAATGTCACATGATCTTACTCACAGGTGGAATCTAATGAACACAATAAACTGATGAACAAAATAGATGCAGAGACATAGAAGCATGGAGCGGACTGACGAATCTCAGAGGGAAAGAGGGAGTTGTGTGGCTGGGTAGGGCAAAATTAACATAAGAATTTATATGTATATATGCATAACCCATGGACACAGACAATAGTGGGGTGAAGGCCTGGAGGGAGGGGTACAAGGAGAGATCAATGGGGGGAAAAAGAGGGACATTTGTAATACTTTCAACAATAAAGATAAATTTTTTAAAAATGGTGTTGAAAGACATGTTTACATATCTCTAGAATGCAAATGATTAAATATAACAGTTAAACTCATTTATTAGATGTTCACACATTTTAGTATACTTTTGTACTCTACTGGCTATAATTACAAACCATTCAACTAAATTTAAAATTCTTTAATGTCAGTAAAAAAGAAACTGTAAATTTTTTTCAAAGAATTTAACATAGAATTTTCTTCAGTAGCCACTTTCTCCAAATTAGTATTATGTGGAGTGTTCTTTTTAGGACACATAAGCTCCAAGCAGAGATGGTTTTCTTACTCGTATTCCAATTTAGATGTAGGCCTTACTACTTGGCATTTACAAAATAAATAAATAAAGAATGACATATTTGAAAGTAGGGCCAAAATGCCTGAATGGCAAATTCAGGTTGCTGCTAATTTAGAAGCTAGATACAGATAAAATTTTTTTTTTTTTTTTTTTTTTACCTGCTTGGGTGATCGAAATGGAGGTAGCTGTTGTAGTCGAACCTGTTCAGGGAAGACAATATTTATGAAAATTATTACTTCAATAACTTTTGTTGGGAAATTTAGTTGAAGAAACCAGTTGCCATAAACTAAATGACAAATTTCTGAAATTATATGTAAAGGTTAAGTAACAAAACAATCTTTCATTTAAATCAAGACAACGCTATATATTTATTGCATCTCTGCCAAAATAACTAATTATTTTCAGTCAGTACCACTTAACTAAAATCTCACAGGAACCTTGTACGGTCTATATATGGGCCAAGAAATAAGGTTCAGAACCTTGATATGTAATAACCTTAGCATTAAGTACATGACCGATAATAACTAAAATTTAAAAAGCATTTTACAGACTATCACATAACTTTAAATATATTATCAAAATCTAAGGTTTCTAATTTACTGTCTCCAAATATCAATCAACAGGAAGTAAAACCCCTCCCTGAATCACACAAGATGTGGCTATGTAAATGTATTACAGCAACTCTAAGTGAACTTAGATTGCCAATAAATTAAAAGTTCTCAAACTACAGTGAAACTGCATTCTCTTGAATGCACATAACAGAAATGCTCATATGTTTTTATAATGTTCTTATAAATGCTCTTATGTTTTAATAATGATTTTACCTGAAAATGATTCATTTGTAGAACCAAATCCTGAAATAATCATAAATTATTATTAATGCAAAATCATGAAAAAATTTAAATCTCAAGCAGCCTATGAGTTATCTGTCTCTTTTTTTAGTTTAGAGTAAATATATATGTTAAGAAAAAGGAATTAACTTTTAATTTCTATGTTTTCAAATGATCTCCCAGTGCCATCATGGTTTTAAAATATTTATATCATGGGAGACCACATTTACTTCTTTCACTCCATTTATTCCAATTATTATCTAAAAATGTCAAGCTTTAGGTTATGATATTTAGCTAATAAGCATACAATACCTATTGTGTGTTCTAATTATATTCCTAACTTAATTCACAGGAGTATAATGAAATAATATTTTGACATATTTTCTAGTAACTGTTCATTTTAATTTGAAATTTTTGTATCAGTGGGTTTATCAGCATATCTTTTACCTGCACAGATTCATGTGAAAGTATAAAAAGTTGTCCACAAAACAAATCAGAAATACATATTTAAAACATAATAATGATTTTACCTGAAAATAATGCATTTGCAGAACCAAACCCTGAAATAATCACAAATTATTATTAATGCAAAATCATGAAAAAATTTAAATCTCAAGCAGCCCATGAGTTATCTGTCTCTTTTTTTAGTTTACTCTTTACAATTTCTAATACATAAAGGAGTAGTTCATGTGTTCTCTTGAAGCTCATTGAATGGATTTATGTTTAAGATGAGTTGCTCATGAGTGATTCTTCCATTATTTAACTCTGTCTATACTAACCCTCAGCTTCCACTCCACCTCTTTATTAAACTATTTTGACTGGTGTCTCACTCTCTTAATTCCCAGAACCTACAAATAGGCAGGGCACACATGCAGCAGGAAAACTGCCCACCTGCAAGTGTTCACAATGCCTCGGCAGTACTGGATTTGAACTGATCCACTGTCAACAAATACACTGCAATGGAAAGGTCTCAATTCTCTCAGGGGCGCCAAGTACCTACTCCTCTGCTGTTGGCGGACTGAAAAGATCCCGGGCCCTTTCATCTCATCTTTCCTAAAGCAACTAGACTAAAATGCAATGACTCACCAGTGCACGCCAGCTCTCCCGCAATGCAATAGCTGAAAGTTAAATTTTAAAAAATGAGGTTGAAATTTTAACTTATCGTAACATGCATCACCCAAATTTAAAACAACAAATTGTCTAACAGTGAAAATCAAAACAGAACCAAATAAGAGAACAGTCAATAGTTGTTTCCCCAAGAACATGCTATTGATTCAAATTGCTTGTTTTTTCCACATATTGTTATTTCTGATCACTTCCCTGAGGAGTTCTTGGGACCTAATGGAATGTTTTGCAGTCAAGCTGCAAAGTTAGTTCTCACACTTCCAGTTTCAAACATGACATGGCTGCTCTAGTATGGACGTCACCTCTTTGCTTCTATGTCACTGTCTGAAAGGTTATCAGCATGGTCTTACATTTATAGAATTAAAACCTTCTTTTGACCTAAAACTACATAGTGACATTCTGTCTTGCCTTCTGCATTATTCAGTATAAGATTTAACAAGCCATTTGCTGATATGTGGGTTTACTAAAAATACACAATAACTAACTTAACTGATATAAAACTAGACCTAAAGCTGGCCTTCTCATTTAGAAATGAGTTAAAAATTACACACATATATTTTTCCTTATTGTTTTCGAAATGAAAATGCAAGAAACAGGATCACTTATTAGAAAGTTCATAGAGAATGTACCATGTCCTTCCGCAGTTATCTTGGATCACGCCACCCGCTGGTATGACGTCATTGTAGAAGCAGCTGCACTCAGGTAAACTGACGCACTTCATGGTGTTCTCATCCAGGTAAGGAGCACTGTCTGGGCACTTAGCATAACAACCTGTGTGTAAAAATGGCTCAGTTGGTCTCTATTTACTGAAACCTATCATACTGCATTATATAGTTGTGCCGGTACTTAAATGATTTCGTGAACTAAAGTAGATAACAGCAAAATGACATCACATTCTTAAGAATGACAATGGGCAATGGGATTGTAGGACTGTGTCTTCTCTCTCTTTCTCATTAAACAGATAATTTATATCTAGAGAAAATGTTTCCAATGAGGAAATATTAATGTCATAATAAAGATAACTATTCACTAAATTACAAAATGTTAAGACACGGAATTGTCAGGAGCTAACAACAATGTCCAGTTTTAAAATACAATATAATTTGCACTACTTTATGGATATTATTAAAAATTGCCTTACCTTCTAAAAGTGCAGAAAACTTCTGGCCAATAACCCGATCTTTGCATGTTTTTGCAGTCACTGTCCCACAGGGCTCGTAATGCCATCTGCATTCCCCAGGTGCGTTATAATAATCACAGTAGACGGCTGTAATTGAATTATATCCAATTACTTTTGTTAGGTAACATTTTTCACCTTTTATTTCCCAAAGCATTTTTAAAAGGGATTTTGAATGATATTAACAATAAGCAGAACTAAAATATGTCTCTGTCTTTTCAACTTCCTTTGCATTTATCCAAATTGCTATATAAGCCAAAATAGCTCATAAAAAATGGAGGGGAAAATATATAGAATCAAAATAGCACTTTCCCTCAACATCTCACACTCATGATGGTTTGAGATGGAAAAGTAACATTCATTTTCCTATTTTGAGATAGTTTAGGTCATAGTCTAGATTCATGGTTTTAATGTGCAAACTTAAATTAGAAAAATAAATCTCTGTAAAAATTAGGCTTTTAAAAATATGTAAATGGCAGTTCCCAAATGAGGTAACTAAAGATTTCAATATAATATAATGCTGAGCATAACAAACAGAATAAAATGAGTATTCAATTTTAAGACTGCTCATTTGTCATCTTTTCTCATAATACCTTCCTTTAAAAGGAGTGGGCTGATTTCCATTCAAGTTACACTTTCCATATATCTCAAGATTCAGTTTACATTTATTTTACAGTTTATCTTGACTAGAGCTCTACAAAAGTTTTCAAGATAATGAGTGTGGACTTCAACCAAGAGTGATCGGTTCTTAAGGACATATGACTATCACATGTTAGGCACGAGTTTATTGTTCTAATGAGATATTTCCCATTGGTATTCAATCCCCGCCCCCGCCCCCTCGGAAAACAAAAACCTTTGCAACTAAAATTGAATTTAATATGGTACGCCAGGTGCTATGTTTATAAAAATAGGTGATTCTCCCATCCTAACTTAACATGTTCTGAAACATTTCTAAGTACAAGAATATACATCTAGCCCGGCCGGGCGTGGCCCAGCGGTTGAGCGTCGACCTGGGATCCAGGGGCTCGGGTTCGATCCCCGTCAGGGCACATGCCCGGGTTGCGGGCTCGATCAATGACTCCCTCATCATTGATGTTTCTCTCTCTCCCTCTCTCTCCCCCTCTCCTTTCCTCTCTCTGAAATCAATAAAGATTAAAATACATATATGTATTTAATAGAAACTATGAGAGGAAGAGTGACTCTCTAACAGAACAGCTCTCTCATTAGGCTGCTAGACCATTTGGGGGCCACTTACGGCAGAGGTCGGGCTTTCTCCAGGGGACGCAGACCCCGACGGCGCTGCAAGCCTCGGCGTACATGGCCACGGCCGTGCAGAAGCCCAGGTACTTGCCCTCCATGTCGCAGGCGCAGGCCTCTTGGATGCACGCGTCGTAGTAGGAGGTGGGGTCCACCTGGGCGGGGACAGACGGGCGTGAGCTGGGGGGCGGGCGCGGGCGCCGGCGCCGCCCGGGGGCTGTGCTACCTTGTGCTACCGTGGCGTGGCGCTCTCGGGGCTGGGCTACCTTGCTGTGGGTGGCCCTCCCGGGGCTGGGCTACCTTGCTGTGGCACCCCGGGGGGCTGGGCTACCTTGCTGTGGCCCTCCCGGGGGCTGGGCTACCTTGCTGTGGGTGGCACTCCCGGGGGCTGGGCTACCTTGCTGTGGGTGGCCCTCCCGGGGCTGGGCTACCTTGCTGTGGGTGGCCCTCCCGGGGGCTGGGCTACCTTGCTGTGGGTGGCCCTCCCGGGGG